ACGGCCACAGAAAATGGGGGGCAGCCGCATGCATCATAGACGTACAAGCGACGTCCATGACCATGCCAATGCGGCGCTCTGCAATCCCATTTTGCTGCGGTGAGTCCGGAAGCGTGAAGGTCTGGCGGATGCCTCGCGCACGACAGTAGGCACACAGAAGGCCAGAGGAGAACTCTCCGCCTCTGTCCGAGTGCAGACGCAACACCAGAAAGTCCGAGCCAAAGCTCTGCCTGAGCAGGAGACGAGCTGCGCGGATCCAGTCGATCAGCACCTCAGAGACATCACCCTTGCTGCACAAGGGGAAGACTGTGGTGTAACGCGAGTAGTCGTCAACCACCAACAGGAAGTAGCGCTCGTGACCGAGTCCACGGACGCGGGCAGGGCCCCACACGTCCATGTGAAGCGTCTGCAACGGAGCCTCTGTCGGAGGAAACTGGGAGGAGTGAGGGGCAGCACGCTGGCGCCCCTCGACACAGGGGACACAGGCAGGGCCAGGGCCCTGAGGAAGGGGAGGGAGGGACCGGGGGAGACCAGACACAAGAAGAGGGGAGGCCATGCCTCTGAGCCGAAGCAGAGAGGGGTGGCCAAGGCGGTGGTGCCAGAGGAGGGTCTCGTGAGACAGACGGCGACACGAACAGGGGGCAGACTCAGGACCAGACCTGGACGCTGCAGCAAACACCTGACCAGACAAAGGGACTCTACCAGACTCAGCACCTGGAGGAGAAGCAGTGGTCAGTGTGTACAGGCTCGACCCTGGCTGACGTGTAAACGTAGCCAGGTGACGACCCGTGCTAGCCTCTGTGCAGTGCGTCACTCGCAGACGAGCAGGGGTGAACTGGTGGACTCCCGCATCCTGTAGGTCAGCACCACTCACCAAGTTCGTAGAGAACGAGGGGAGGTAGAGACCAGACAGGGTGCCAGAGGGAGCCGCCGGACACGGGAGGACTGTGGAGAAGCGAGACAGGACAGGACCCCCAGAGGGGTTAGCCAGGGAAACCGCAACCAGCCGACTAAGCGGCGTGAGTGTGGTGCGGTCCCGAAAGAAAGAGCGAGACGCTCCAGAGTCAAGTGTGAATGTGTGGGAGGCCGAAGCCGACGCGGTACCTGAGAGCGCAGACGCACTAGTACCTGAGAGAGCAGCCTCACCAGCACCTGAGAGCACAGACGCACTGGCACCTAGAGCAGAAGCCTCACCGGCACCTAGAGCAGCAGTACCAATGCCCGGGTCGGGCGGGAAACACCGGTAACAGTCACCCTCATCACTAATGGTCACAGCATACATGGCAGCAATGATAGCATCAAAATCAAGATCAAAGATAGCTACACCAGCCCTAGACAGCTCTCCCCAGCGGGGGATCTCCGCGGCCTCCGGGAACTGCTGGCGCCAAGCGTCCGTCAGGCGGCCAAAGCAGCGCTGGGCGGTGTGGGTGCCCCCACACTGCTCTCCAGCGCGGTCGCCAGTGCGGAGAACGTAGGTGCAGGGACCAAAACCCCCACCGCGCTGACGCTGCGTGTACCACTCACGGAGCTGCTGAGGGGTGGGGACGTCGCGAGAACGCTGCTGCTGCTGCTGCTGCTGGCGCTGACCTCCCCCAGTGCTGCTCCGCTGCGAAGCTCCACTCCGACCACCTCCACCTCCGCCACCCCCGCCTCCGCCTCCACCGCCCCCGCCTCCGCCTCCACCGCCGACACCTCCGCCACCTCCGCTACCACCGCCACCGCCGCCGCCACCCCCGCCTCCACTGCCGCCACTAGCACCCCCACCCCTGCTACCACCTCCACCGCCACCCCCACTCCCTCCGCCGCCTCCACCTCCACCTCCACCGCCCCCACTGGCCCCACCCGCTCCCTTGCCCCCCTTGCCCTTGCCAGAGCGGCGTCTCCCGCTAGGGGCAGACGCCGCACCGACCGACTCAAGACCAACGAGGTCGGCCGCAGCGGCAGAGGCGACAGAGGTCAGGAGAGGGGAAGGAGAACACCCCTCAAAGATGGGGGCGCGGGGGTCACCTCGAGAGGCTCCTACAGCGACTATGCTCTTCTCTGCTGCAAGGAGGGCCTTCTCGAGGCTGTCGACTGTGAGGGTGGTGGGACAGACCGCGAGGAAGTGGTCTCGGACTACACGAAGGGAGTCAGGGAGGCGAGTGACTAAGAAGTAGAGAGTGATGTACATGGGGGGGGGGTTCTTGGCGCAGAAGTCAGCAGGAAGCGCAGCGCGGTAGCGAGTGTCACTAGTGCGGAGGTGCGTGATGAGATCAGCGACAGTGGGAAAGGCGGCAAGGTCAGGGAAGAGGAAGGGGAGCATGAGGCGGCTCAGTGCAGCAGTGGCAGGGGAGGAGTAGCGCGCAACTACAGCGTCGTAGAAGGTCTGGGCACTCTTGTACTGGCTAAAGTGCGCGCGCTCAGCGGTAGGCAAGTGGCGACGCACAGCAAGACGTGCAGCAGCATCGTGCGTGGCCCACTGTGAGCGAACAGTGGCGTCAGCATCAGCAGCAGGGGCAGGGACGGCGCCAGAGGTGAGGTCAAAGAGAGACAGACCGTCCGCCCTATCGCACTGTAAAAACAGCTGCAGGTCGTCGAGCCAGACCTCAAAGTCTATGGCTCGACCCTCAGCGTCAAAAGCGAGGACACTAGGGGTGGCCATGACTACAGGCTAGCAGTGCAAGCAGTGGTGGGGGGGGGACGGGCACGCAGTAGCAGTGGGGCTGTGCTCACCAGACAAGGCAGGTTGGGCGACTCGGCAGTAGAGCGGCTCGGCTGCGGGGCGGCTCGGCGGCTGGGCTGCTCGGCGGCTCGGCGGCTGGGCGGCTCGGCGGCTGGGCGGCTCGGCTGCTCGGCGGCTCGGCGGCTGGGCGGCTCGGCGGCTCGGCGGAGGAGGAGAGCGGCAGGGCCGCTTAGCAGAGGGCGGCGGGGCCGCGAAGTGCAGGGCGGCGGGGCCGTAAAGGAAGGGCGGCGGGGCCGCTTAGCAGAGGGCGGTGGGGCCGCTAAGGAAGGGCGACGGGGCCGCGAGGTGCAGGGCGGCGGGGCCGTCGAAGCAGGGCGGCGGGGCCGTCGAAGCAGGGCGGCGGGGCCGTCGAAGCAGGGCGGCGGGGCCGTCGATGCAGGGCGGCGGGGCCGTCGAAGCACGGCGGCGGGGCCGTCGAAGCAGGGCGGCAGGGCCGTCGAAGCTGGGCGGCGGGGCCGTCGAAGCAGGGCGGCGGGGCCGTCGAAGCAGGGCGGCGGGGCCGCTTAGCAGAGGGCGGCGGGGCCGCAAAGGAAGGGCGGCGGGGCCACGAAGTGCAGGGCGGCGGGGCCGCGAAGCGTAGGGCGGCAGGGCCGCGAAGTGCAGGGCGGCGGGGCCGCAAAGGAAGGGTGGCGGGGCCGCGAAGTGCAGGGCGGCAGGGCCGCTAGGGGAGAGAAGGCCGCTAGGGCGGCTCGGTAAGTGAATAGCCCGAAGCGCGACTCGGGATGAGTGCGCTTCGGGCAGTAAAAAAAAAACTCGAAGTGGTGGGCCCTAGTCGCAGTTCCCACAGGGGAACCTGCTCGATACCATGAGAAGATTTGAACGAGAATGGAATGACTATGAACGAAGTGAGTACAAATAGGAAACCCTAATTGGGTTGTACCCCCTATGGGATACCCCACTATAGCCTACACAAATAAGTAAGCTATAATGTTCTGACAGAATGTACTTGTGCTGGTATGTGAGAACAAGTAATTGATTAAAGCAAAGAGCATACAGGAATATATAGGAAAGATAGATTACAGGAAGCGGTTATGTTTATCGAGACGCGTAACGCTTCGACTATCGAGGCGGTTACTATTCACTGAAGCGTCGCTTGCTGTTACGTAACCTCCAGGCGGTTACAGCTCGCAACCTCCAGTTGCGGTTTTGATGTGGTACGCGCCTTTTCGACTTCATACCCCTTTTGTTGTGCTTCAGTATCGGGTGAGGTTCGATACTACAGAAACGCACTAAGTCATGCGTTTATATTCCCAACATACTCTGAGGAGTACATTCCCTTATTAACTGTATTACATGCCTACAGTAACCACGACTATTGTTATTCTTGACACTTACCATGTTACAGCGATCAAATGTCGTGCGGTTACTGGTCGGTCGAGAGTCACGACCGTTGACTGTCTTCGACTGTTGACCTTCGGGTGACTCTCGACCTTCCGCGTGCTCTATGTGAGCTATTGCAGTACTGGTGCAGTGCGTTGTTCTATTAAGAACTGACGCGTTAGGGAGAAGCCTTCGGAAATGCTTATAATAACCTTTCGTTTATTCCAACAGTTGTCGCCGTTGTTGCCGATCTCGCCGTTGTTGCCGATCTCGCCGTTGTTGCCGATCTCGCCGTTGTTGCCGATGTCGCCGTTGTCGTCATTGTCTCTAGTGTCACCGCTATTGCCGTTGTCGTCGGTGTCGCCGTTGTAAATGAATGCATTAGAAACATTCATGCATCCACATTTGTTATTGATGGTATCAAATTTAATATGGAGAACCTTGATTCGCTGGGAAGCATGCAACGTATGATTTTGTTACCCTTTCTGACATGTTTCAGTTAATTTCACGTAGAAAAAATGCGTATGCTACACTCCTGGATGTGCACAAAATGTGTCAAACACTCTGTCGAACGGTGTCAGAAGCCAGTAACGAGTTACAGCATTTCCCGCGCTGTCACGACGCGTCACTTCTTTCGTTTTTGCACAGTCGACCCTGCGGAGGATCGAATGTCAACGTGGTAATAAACCTTTTCCCAACTTTTTAATGCGTTAGTGCGGCAAACAATCGGTGTAGCTCGGTCGATCTTGCAAAATCGAAAGAAGGGACGTGCCCTAAGACTTCTCTCACTCCCACGACTCAATCAATCACAAGCCAAGCGTCGATGCGCACGAGTCTCACAAACGAACTCCTGACTGTAGACCGAATCACGTCGCTCCAGTTAGCTCCACGAAATCGTCGCGTACGCTGGAAAATCAGCTCTCTCATACCTCTTCTAACGCGCCAATCAGCAGCCGCCATGTCAGGGTGGGACGAGGGACAGGTGTTCTACAGCAACCAGTCGTTCCCCGAGTCGGAAGGGCCGGCCGGCGACGACGCGCTGGGCGACGCGGGAATCACGCGATACGCCGCGCAGAAGAAGCTTCGCGAGTTCGTGCGAAACTTCCACGATCCGCAGTATCATGACCGCTTTATCTACAGGTGCGCCGCGTGCGGTAACCCGCTGCCGTTACCAGCACAGCACAGCAGGCCACCTCGCACCGTGCGGTCCCCGCCCCCGCTCAACGTGGGCCCCTCCCTTCCCTGCGACCAGCTGGGCTTTAAAATCCCTCACAAACCGACGGATCCGCGCCGTGAGGTTCCCGTCGTCCCCTGCGCGCCGTGCCCTCCCTACATGCGGTCCGCGCCCTTCCTTACTCGCAAATTCCCTCCTCTTATCCCGCCTGTTCCTGCCTCTCATGACCGGGGATCACATGGCCGCCGGGGCTCACATGGCCGCCGGGGCTGCACAGCGTCATACGCCGCCGTGTCCCGTTCCCCTCCTCCCACGGCAACCCCCCTTGCCCCCATTCCGCAGGGAGCGGGTGCAGGAGGGGGTGGCGTGGTGGAGGTTGATCCGGAGCACGTGGCGGTTTGGGGGCGGCCAACAGCACACCGTCTCCCCCCCCTGTCTTTCCCCACTCCCCCATCACCCGCGGTTGCTCCAGGGAGCGGTTGCAGGAGGGGGGCGGCGTGGTGGAGGTGGACTTGGAGGACCTGGCGAGCAAGGAGGAGGGGCTGTGCCGCCTCATGCGCACGCGCCCCGCTGACATGCTGCCGCTGGTGGGTGGGATGGGTCCCCATGGATCCTCATGGAATTTGATTGCCCTGCTCTACTTTCCCTTGCCCGTGTGTCTTTCTCAACGTAGAGCATTAGTTTCTCATGAGCGCTCTGAGTGTCTTTCGTTATGTATTCGTCTTTCTCTCTGCCTGCCTGCTCCGCCTCCTCGCTTCTCCCGCTTCTGTGCTCCCTTCTCTCCCCCCACTCCTCCCTCCCTCTTTCTCACCCGCTTTGTGCTGACGTGGCAGTTGGAGGTGGCAGCAGCTGAGGTGGCAGCGAGCGTGCGGCAGAAGGTGATGGGGGAGAGTGGGGAGCTGGAGGATGCACGAGTGCCGCCCGTGCAGGTGCTGCTCAAGAGCTCCGAGGACGCCATGCCCATCAGGGCTTTAACGGTGCGTGCCATGCCCATCCGGGCTTTAACGGTGTGTGCCATGCCCATCCGGGCTTTAACGGTGTGTGCCATGCCCATCAGGGCTTTAACGGTGTGTGCCATGCCCATCCGGGCTTTAACGGTGTGTGCCATGCCACACATCACACGCATCACGTGCATTACTTCCTCGGCCCTTACTCCCAACCATGCCGCGCCATGACTCCTCTCTGCAGACCTGCCTTCCATGCTCCCATTTCACTTTCTCTCTTTTCTTTTGGTGCGGTAGCAACTGGGTGTGTTGCATCGCTGCCCAAGTGATTTCTGCTTGACCCCTGACAACACTTCTCCCCATAACCCTTTATTCCCCCTCCTTCCCCCATCAGGCAGCATGGCTCGTCTATTGGGTGAAGATATCACGCATTGTGATCGCTCCGTTTCTCTGCCTCCCCCCTTCTCCCTCCACCCCCCACCAGGCGGCATAAACATCTCATCTGGTGAAGATCGCAAGCATCGATTTTCCACCTCTTCCCTTGTTTGCTCTCCCTCTCCCTCTCCCTCCCCTCTCTCCCCACGTCTGGCCACCCGTCACCGCACCGCACCAGGCGGCACAGATCGCCCATCTGGTGAAGATCTCGGGCATCGTGATAGCGTCCTCGCGAGCCAAGGCCAAGGCCACCTCGGTGGTGCTCATGTGCCGCTCCTGCAAGAACGTCAAGGCCATCCCCTGCCGCCCGGGCCTGGGTGGCGCCATCATCCCGCGCACATGCGACCGCACCCCCCAGGTAGGTTGCATTCTCCATGGGCGAGGTGGGTGTGCCGTGGCAATGAGTTGGGTGGCACGTGACGACCGCACATGTGAGTTCACCCACCAGGTAGGTTTCATCTTCATTTTCCATGGGCAAGTGGAGTGTAGAAGACGAATAAGCACATGGTCAAGGATGCGTGTGATGCAAGGTTATCCAGATGGGCGTTTGGAGCAAGGAGCAGAGAACCACTTCCGTCCATCCTGGTCCCAAAAGGGTCCAGGCGGGGAGACCCCATGTGTGGAGCTGCTGCTGATTAAAATTACAACTCTCTTCTTTCCCTCCTCTCCTTTCTCCTCTCCTTCTGATGTTTCAGACCTGATTTTCTTTTATTCCAGTCCCCTTCCTTGCTTATCCCCTTCCTTGCTTATCCCCTTCCTTGCTTATCCCCTTCCTTGCTGATCCCCTTCCTCGTTTCCCGTCTCCCGCCTGCCTCCATCCACCCCTTGTCGGTGCGAGCAGCCAGGGGAGGAGCCATGCGGGGTGGACCCGTGGGTGGTGCTGCCAGATAGGAGCGAGTATGTGGACCAGCAGACGCTCAAACTGCAGGAGAATCCCGAGGTAACTGAGGAGAATCCCGAGGTAACTGAGGAGAATCCCGGGGTAACTCAGGAGAATCCCGAGGTGACTGAGGAGAATCTCGCGCCATGCCTATGCCCCATGCGCGCATGCCCCATGCACCATACCCATGCCCCATGTCCCATGTCCCATTCCTCATCTGGCATGACAGAAGCACCATGTCAAGCTCATGCCTCATGGCCCATGATGCCCCATGCACCATCTCATGGGTGAGATGCTGCACAGCGTCCTGCTGGCGGTGGACCGCTGGTTGCTGGTGCAGCGCAGCATGTGTGCTCAACATACAACACCGTCAGCCTTGCCTTGCCCCGTGCTCCATACCCCATGCACCATGCACCGTGCCCAATGCCCCCATGCCGCCATGCTGCCCCTCGGGACGTGCCCATGGGACGGTTGAGATGCCGCGCAGTGTGCTACTGGCAGTGGACAGCTCGTTGGTGCAGCTCATGATGTGTGCACTGCATGCCTCGTACCCCATCCACTGTGTGCCCATTTCCACCATGCCCCACGCCCCTCAGGACGTGCCAACGGGGGAGATGCCCCGGAGCGTCCTCCTGGCAGTGGACCGCTCGCTGGTGCAGCGCATCTCCCCCGGCACGCGCATCACTGTGTTTGGCATCTTTAGCATCTTCCAGGCCTCCGATAAAACCAAGTGAGCTGCCTGCCTGCCTGCCTGCCTGGCGCCCAAAAGACTGACTCGTGTGAGTCTGAGTGAGTGAGTGAGTGAGTGAGTGAGGTAAGAATTTTCTCATTTCACTCAATTATTTGCCCCTTTAACGGTCTGCACACATTCTCCCCCGGCACGTGCGTCACTGTGTTGGGCATCCTAAGCATCTTATCTTCCAGGCTTCCTATAAACACGTGACATGCGTGGAGGCTCAGGGCCTGTATTGTGGCACGTGTCATGTATCTGAGGGGCTGAATTGTGTTGTGTGGGGACAAAACCGAGTGAGATGATTGGTCTCTCATCCCAATCGACTCCTTGCCCCTCAAACGGTTTGCCCGCTTTGGCAGTCTAAGCACCTTGGAGCCTGCGGTTAAAAACAGGTGCGATGCATGCGTGGTGGCTTGGGGGGAGAAGCCCAAGTCCTGGGGTGCCATGGCGGTGGCCATACGGCACCCTGCAGACGGTGGGGGTGGAGATGCCACGGCTGCCCAGCTGACCCGCAATCCCCGCCCTCTCCCCCACCTCTGCTCCCTGTGACCCTGCCTCTCAGGTCGCGAGGGGCCATGGCGGTGGCAATACGGCAGCCATACCTGCGAGTGGTGGGAGTGGAGATGGCTGCGGATGGCGCTGCCAGGTCCACTGCCTCCTCCTTCACCACTGATGAGGTTCGTCGGCGGATTGACTTGCGTTCACTTGCGTTGACTGGCGTTGACTGGCGTTGACTGGCGTTGACTGGCGTTGGCTTGCGTTGGCTTGCATTGGCTTGTGTTGACTTGCGTTGACTCCCTTGACAATTTCTGGCCCACACTGACTTGGATGCTTTCTCCGAGCTTGGGTGTTGATTTGTGGATTTTTCCCGCTCAAGCCCTTCCCTCCTCCCTCTCCCTGCCCCACTCAAGCCCTTCCCCCCTCCTTCTCCCTCCCTGCCCCCCTAACAACACAGGAGGCGGAGTTCAAGGACTTCAGCTGGCAGGGCGACGAGGTGACTTTTTAGTTAACTCAAAATTCACTTCTTAGTCACCCCTCCAGCTCCCTGCACCCTCCCCTCCCCACCCCCGCACACACAGGAGGCGGAGTTCAAGGAGTTCAGCCGGCAGGGCGACGTGTACGGCGCCATAAGCAGCCAGATCGCGCCGTCCATCTTCGGCCACGCCGACATCAAGAAGGCCATCGCCTGCCTGCTCTTTGGCGGCGCGCGCAAGGTGGGCCGTGTGCGAGGGACGGCTGGGGATCGCGAGAGCAGTAAGGTGGGAGAGTGTGAGCCTGGAAGGTGGGGTGCCATGCTTGCCTTGCAACGCTTTACTGTGCGCGTTGACATGCCTGCTCTCTGCACTGTTCCTTGTCCAACACCTGCTGCGGCCTGCCATGACATGCCGTGTTCTGTTTAAATCTAAACAATCGAAGCCGGTAATTTTGTGTGTGTGTGTGTGCGCGTGCGTGCGTGCGTGCGCGCGCGTGTGTGTGTGTGTGTGTGTGTGTGTGTGTGTGTGTGTGTGTGTGTTTCCAGATTTTTGGTGTTGTCAATTCTTTGTTGTTGGTTCTGTATGTGCCTTTCTCTTCCGTCTGCCCCCTTATTCCGCTGCTCCCTCATCCACCAATCAGCTACTGCCAGATGGCGCAAGGCTGAGAGGCGACATCAACGTGCTGCTGATCGGTGATCCATCCACCGCCAAGTCCCAGGCGAGTCAGCATGAGTCACAGCTGAGTCGGCAAATGTTGGTTCAATACTACTTCTCACCTGCGTCCATTTCCCCGAAGTTATGCACAATCGGCACCCATCCCCGGTTCTTCAAACGACTCAATCTCCATGCGGCCTATTTGCACTTCGACACAATCCCTTCCTCAACCATTCCTCTCCCCCCCTCCCCCATCCCCACGTGTGGCGTGGCAGTTCCTCAAGTTTGTGGAGAAGACGGCACCTATCGCCGTGTACACATCAGGGAAGGGCTCCTCTGCTGCTGGCCTCACCGCCTCCGTCATTCGCGATGCCTCCTCTGTCAGTGCTGCGCCACACCAACCCACTTCTTCTTCCGCCAATTTAATATGGTTTTCTCTTTGCTTGTCTCTGTATTTGTGTACATCCTCCTGCTATTGATCTTTGTCCCTGTGTTGACTCCGTTCCCTGTTATTTGTGTATGGCATGTTATGGGGGGCAGAGGGAGTTCTACCTGGAGGGCGGCGCCATGGTGCTGGCAGATGGCGGTGTGGTGTGCATCGATGAGTTCGACAAGATGCGCCCTGAGGACAGGTGTGGGGGGAGAGGGGGGATGGGGCATGTGCTGTTATTAGTAAACAGGTGGGCTGCGGAGGTCTGATGTCCATCAACTTGAGTGTTATTGAGACGGGCTGCGCATCGATGAGTTCGATGAGATGCGGCCTGAGGACAGGTGTGGGGGGAGAGGGGGGATGGGGTGGGAGGCATGGATGGGGGAGGATGGGGTGGGAGGACATGAGTCTCACTGTGTGCTTCGCCTCTCCCTCTACCCCATGCTCCCCACAGAGTGGAGAGGCGATGGAGCAGCAGGCGATCAGCATCGCCACGGCAGCCATCACCACTCGCGCACCTCCCGTGTTCCCTGTGACCACCGTGCTTGCCCGTTCCAGCCGCTCGCACCATGGGTGCTGCAGAGTGGCAATCCTCGAGGCAACGAACCTTGCATCTCACATGTGTGGTTTCTCGTCTGCCTGATGCAAGTCATTCGGTGTGTGTTCCTCTAATTGTGCCCCGCAGAGTGGCGATTCACGAGGCAATGGAGCAGCAGACGATAAGCATCGCCAAGGCGGGCATCACCACTGTGCTCAACTCGCGCACCTCCGTGCTCGCCGCTGCCAACCCGCCCTCCGGCCGCTACGATGACCTCCGGGTGAGGCAAGGGCCGAGGGGGTGGTGGGGGGGATGGGGAGGGGGGGGTTGTTGGGGGGCTGCCTTAACAAATGTATCATTGTGTTGCCATGAGCTGCCACATCTTCCCATGTTATTCCCCGGAAATACCAATGCGTTGCGTGCATCACATCCCCGTCTCCCTCTCTCCTCTTACATCCCTCCTCCTCGCACCACCCCGCCCCACAGACGGCTCAGGAGAACATTGATCTGCAGAGCACCATTCTGTCGCGCTTCGACCTCATCTTTGTCGTCAAGGACACAAGGGACTTCAACCGCGATCTCGTGCGCCCTTCCCCCCCTCCCCTCCCCTCCAATCCCCCCCTCCCCTCCCCTCCAATCCCCTCCTCCCCTCCCCTCCAATCCCTCTTTCTTTTCTCCCTCGTTTGCCCTACCTCCATTATTTCACTAGACATTTTTCCAGTGTCTGAAGATTGACAGTGTTTTGCGTCGACTCAAAAGTCATCATGTTTTGCTTGTAAATTCGCTGGCCTCGTCTTTGTTATCAAGAACACTTGTGATTTCAACGTGACCTGCTATCTGCTTCCTCACAACCGCAACTGCTGTGCGGAAACCACCTTTCTATATTGCCCGCTCAATCTATATGTCAAAGACACCCGTGACCCGCTCCATCCTCCTTGCGTTCGCGTTTGCCTTCCGTTGTCAGCCCTAGCTCCTTGCCAACGCCCGAGTTTGTTTCGCCCCTTCTGCCCCTCAAGCGCGGGGTGAACGTGTATGCGAGGTGTCAGCCTGAACCCCTTATTTACTTGCACCTGTGCCCCTTCCCCCATGGCTCACCCCTTCCCCCATGGCTCACCCCTTCCCCCATGCAGCAAATCGCGCGGCACGTGGTGAACGTGCATGCCAAGGCAGATGCCGTGCTGGGGCAGGCAGACGATGCCATGGGCGGGCGGGCAGCCATGGGGGACGGACCTGCAGGGGCGGGGGGCGTGGGGCACGCGGGGAAGGATGGCGAGCAGGAAAACTGGCTCAAGAGGTAACGAGGAGGGGGGGTTGAAAATTGGTGGGGGAGATGGGCAAAGCATGGAGTAGGGAAATGGGCAAAGCATGGAGTAGGGAAATTTCTTCCACGGTTCCACTTACCAGCATTCCCCTTGATATCCCCAAGCGCTTTGAGTCTTTCTCTTGCCTCAAAACCTTTGATTTGAAGGAGCCATCACAGACCTCCCTGCTCCCCTTCCGCTGCTGCCTGTTTCCCTAAACCCCTCCCATCAGGTACATAGAATTTGCTCGCACGCGCTGCTCCCCGCGGCTTTCAGAGTCAGCAGCAACGCTCCTGCAGAACAACTACGTGCAGATCCGGCAGGTGGGGGTTGATCCGGCAGGTGGGGTGCTTGCTGGTGTGTTGCAGTAAAACATGTCACATTTCAGTGGGGTGGGACATGTCACATTGTTGTTGGACACGTCACATTGTTGTTGGACACGTCACATTGTTGTTGGACACGTCACATTGTTGTTGGACACGTCAGATTGTTGTTGGACACGTCACATTGCTGTTGGACACGTCACATTGCTGTTGGACACGTCACATTGTTGTTGGACACGTCACATTGCTGTTGGAAACGTCACATTGCTGCTGGACACGTCACATTGCTGTTGGACACGTCACATTGCTGTTGGACACGTCACATTGCTGTTGGACATGTCACATTGCTGTTGGACATGTCACATTGCTGTTGGACATGTCACATTGCTGTTGGACATGTCACATTGCTGTTGGACATGTCACATTGCTGTTGGACATGTCACATTGCTGTTGGACATGTCACATTGCTGTTGGACATGTCACATTGTACCACAACACAGCACATCACAACGCTCAAGTGCAGATGCGACAGGTGCACTTTCTGTTTCGGTGCAGTGACCCTTGCTACATGGGGGACATGCTGCAACACATCACATCACATCACATCACATCACATCACATCACATCACATTGCACTGTGCCGCACCATTCCGCATCCCACCGCCACCGTTGCTGCGCCACATAACCCAGCATCATCCCCACATCCTCCCTTCTCCCCTCAGAACATGCGGCGGAGGGCAACGGAGACGGGGGAGGCGTCAGCGCTGCCAATCACGGTTCGCCAGCTGGAGGCCATCGTGAGGCTCTCAGAGTCCATGGCACGGATGCAGCTGTGAGTGACGTGGCATGCAGCTGTGATAAACGTGGCATGGAGCTATGAGTGACGTGGCATGCAGCTATGAGTGACGTGGCATGCAGCTGTGAGTAGCGTGGCATGCAGCTATGAGTGACGTGGCATGCAGCTATGAGTGACGTGGCATGCAGCTGTGAGTAGCGTGGCATGCAGCTATGAGTGACGTGGCATGCAGCTGTGAGTGACGTGGTATGCAGCAGTGAGTGACGTGGCATGCAACTCTGAGTGACGTGGTATGCAGCAGTGAGTGACGTGGCATGCAACTCTGAGTGACGTGGCATGCTGTTCTGAGGGTAACGTACAACATATTTCGTACCCTCGTGTCCGTCCCTCTTTCACTGCCTTCGTACCCCCTCTTTCACTTGCTCCATAACCCCTCTTCTCCCCCCCAATAGCTCTCCAGTGGCCACGGGGTGGGAGCACGACACCGAGGACTTTTGACACGTCTCAAAAGCCCACTCCCACGTCCCTTCTGCCTCTCCTCTTCTCCCTGCACCCCATTGCTCCCCCCCCAGCTCCCCAGTGGCCACGGAGGAGCACGTCACCGAGGCGCTGCGCCTCTTCCATGTCGCGACGCTGGACGCCGCCCGGTCGGGCGTGGTGGACGGCGCAGTGCTGACGGAGGAGCAGCGGCGCGAGGTGCAGCAGGTGGAGGGCGCGGTGCGGCGGCGCGTGGCCATCGGGGGCTTCGTGTCGGAGCGGCGCCTGCTGGATGACATCACGCGGTCCGGCATCAGTGAGAGCGCCGTGAGTCCTGGGATGTGTTTTTTGAGAATTCTCATTCGCATGAGGGTGAGCCCTGCTTGCCTGCTCGTCTCATTCGCCTGCCAACATGCTCCCCTGCTAGCTGCATCACCAGGCTGCATCACCAGGCTGCATTCTACTGCTTGTGTAATCTCCAGACTGCCGCCTACTTGGTGCCCGTCTGGTGGGTGCTGTGCGCAGCGCTCATCACAATCCTTCATCGTATGCATCACCGACTATGTGTGGCATGTGCCATGTGCGTGCCATGGTTTGTGCCATATGCCATATGCCATATGGCTGTGGTATGTGGCGTGGCATGTGTGATGGCATGCTGTATTCCTCAGGTGCGGCGAGCGCTGCTCATCATGGTGGCACGGGGAGAGGTGGAGTACCGACGGGAGAGGAGGGTCATTTACCGCAAGGTCTGACCACCGCTTCTACTGCTGCTCTGACCACCGCTTCTACTGCTGCTCTGACCACCGCTTCTACTGCTGCTCTGACCACTGCTTCTACTGCTGCTCTCACGGCCGCCCTGACCGCCGGTCTCACTCTTGCTCTCACTGCTGCTCTCACTGCTGCTCTCACCGCCGCTCTCACTGTTGCTCTCACTGCTGCTCTCATTGCCATTGCAACTCTGACTACAGTACAACCACTGGTCTAGGCTCCAGTCTCTTAATGAGTACAATAATGTACACTTTGCTGCGCTGGTTCAAAAAAAGGACCCCAATGATTTGCAACTGTTGTTGACAAAAACAAGTCAGTGCAGTTTACATGTGTTGTGCTGAGAAAGCCCTAGGATCAGGCCCTCATTGGTTTTGGGGCACGCTGGAAAATCAGTTGTCACACAATTCTACAGGCTGAAAATCAGCCAAAAACAGCCCAAAACCCCAATTTTACACTAGAATATTACTGTAATACTACTGCAGCCACCACCCATCTTGGTCTCAAGATTCAAAACACCCTTTCTAAGCAGGGTGGGATTTCAATAACCCTGCTTCTTGGCACGGTGGAAATGCTACCCTGGCAAACTTTGGGCAACCCCGCAGAATTCGGCAAACAGGAAGGGTAGTCAGGGTGTTGTCCCCCCCAAGTATTCCGCACCTCGGCTGATTGATGTTTAACCCGAGGACCCGAACCCCGCACTTAACCTGTGGAACTTGAATACATTAACTTACCGGTACTTTTTTTCCTACGGTATGGATCACCTATTTATCGAATATTGCAGGTAAGCAGGGTCTTACACACAAAGCTAGAGACGACTAAGCGTGAACATCAATCTCCACGTTGTCTATGAGACGCACTGATCCGAAATGGGCTGCCACTGCAAGCACAGCGGGGCAAGTGATGTGCGAGATTGGCTCGAGACCCTCCTGCTCCACCAGCTGTCAAACCACAACATGCACACAGACAGCAGATTAGTTACACCAAGAATGCTCACACATGCACAGAGGTATTATGATGAGAGTAATGTAGCAACTGTGCAGTGACATGCTGGCATGGTGGAGGGGCCTGGGAAGGGAGCAAGAAGCTGATGCTACCAGACAACACACACACACAGCCCCGTCACCATCCCATGCTGCTTCATCGCCATCCCATGCTGCTTCATCTCCATCCCATGCTGCTTCATCTCCATCCCATGCTGCTTCATCTCCATCCCATCCCGTGCCTACCTGCACATACTCCACTCGCCCCCCTGCCTCCTCAACCGTTTGCCTCACTCTCTCCACCACCGCGCTTGCATCTGCCGCCTGTGCGTGCCCCTCGCCTCGCTCACTCTCGCCCGCCCCGCTGTGAGCCGCCTCCACTGCTGCCTTGGCCGCCAGCAGCGCGCGGCTGATGGAGAGAGCCTGCCATGGATAGGGCCACACAGACAGGCCGCATGGCAGGGCCACACAGACAGGCCGCATGGCAGGGCGGCGGGGATAGGCATGGCAGGGCGGCGGGGATAGGCATGGCAGGGCGGCGGGGATAGGCATGGCAGGGCGGCGGGGATAGGCATGGCAGGGCGGCGGGGATAGGCATGGCAGGGCGGCGGGGATAGGCATGGCAGGGCGGCGGGGATAGGCATGGCAGGGCGGCGGGGATAGGCATGGCAGGGCGGCGGGGATAGTCATGGCAGGGCGGCGGGGATAGGCATGGCAGGGCAGCGGGGATAGGCATGGCAGGGCGGCGGGGATAGGCATGGCAGGGCGGCGGGGATAGGCATGGCAGGGCGGCGGGGATAGGCATGGCAGGGCGGCGGGGATAGGCATGGCAGGGCGGCGGGGATAGGCATGGCAGGGCGGCGGGGATAGGCATGGCAGGGCGGCGAGGATAGGCATGGCAGGGCGGCGGGGATAGGCATGGCAGGGCGACGGGGATAGGCATGGCAGGGCGGCGGGGATAGGCATGGCAAGGCGGCGGGGATAGGCATGGCAGGGCGGCGGGGATAGGCATGGCAGGGCGGCGGGGATAGGCATGGCAGGGCGGCGGGGATAGGCCGCATGGCAGGGCGGCGGGGATAGGCATGGCAGGGCGGCGGGGATAGGCATGGCAGGGCGGCGGGGATAGGCATGGCAGGGCGGCGGGGATAGGCATGGCAGGGCGGCGGGGATAGGCATGGCAGGGCGGCGGGGATAGGCATGGCAGGGCGGCGGGGATAGTCATGGCAGGGCGGCGGGGATAGGCATGGCAGGGCAGCGGGGATAGGCATGGCAGGGCGGCGGGGATAGGCATGGCAGGGCGGCGGGGATAGGCATGGCAGGGCGGCGGGGATAGGCATGGCAGGGCGGCGGGGATAGGCATGGCAGGGCGGCGGGGATAGGCATGGCAGGGCGGCGGGGATAGGCATGGCAGGGCGGCGGGGATAGGCATGGCAGGGCGGCGGGGATAGGCATGGCAGGGCGGCGAGGATAGGCATGGCAGGGCGGCGGGGATAGGCATGGCAGGGCGACGGGGATAGGCATGGCAGGGCGGCGGGGATAGGCATGGCAAGGCGGCGGGGATAGGCATGGCAGGGCGGCGGGGATAGGCATGGCAGGGCGGCGGGGATAGGCATGGCAGGGCGGCGGGGATAGGCATGGCAGGGCGGCGGGGATAGGCCGCATGGCAGGGCGGCGGGGATAGGCATGGCAGGGCGGCGGGGATAGGCATGGCAGGGCGGCGGGGATAGGCCGCATGGCAGGGCGGCGGGGATAGGCATGGCAGGGCGGCGGGGATAGGCATGGCAGGGCGGCGGGGATAGGCCGCATGGCAGGGCGGCGGGGATAGGCCGCATGGCAGGGCGGCGGGGATAGGCATGCAGTCGGCCCATCCAGCAGTACAGGGATGGTGGAGGAGGAAGAGGGATGACGAAGGAAGGGGGTAAGAGGGTGTGTCACATGCTTTGATACGGTTCCACAAAGTGGACTGTAGCATTATGTGGACCGAAGCATTATATGCACTGTCGCATTATGTGCACTGTAGCATTATATGCACTGAAGCATTATATGCACTGTCTCACCTGCTGCCTGTGCTCTGATCTGATGCGCACGTTGCGGCTGCTCATGGCCTCGAACACCATGTAGGTGCCATGGTTTCAATACGAGGCAGCAAGTGTGTGTGAAACACCTTGATAGCAGCTCGTGCCTCACCTGCTGCCTCTGCTCACCTGCTGCCTCTGCTCACCTGTTGCCTCTGCTCACCTGTTGCCTCTGCTCACCTGTTGCCTCTGCTCACCTGTTGCCTCTGCTCACCTGTTGCCTCTGCTCACCTGTTGCCTCTGCTCACCTGCTGCCTCTGCTCACCTGCTGCCTCTGCTCACCTGCTGCCTCTGCTCACCTGCTGCCTCTGCTCACCTGTTGCCTCTGCTCACCTGTTGCCTCTGCTCACCTGCTGCCTCTGCTCACCTGTTGCCTCTGCTCACCTGTTGCCTCTGCTCACCTGCTGCCTCTGCTCACCTGCTGCCTCTGCTCACCTGCTGCCTCTGCTCACCTGCTGCCTCTGCTCACCTGCTGCCTCTGCTCACCTGCTGCCTCTGCTCACCTGCTGCCTCTGCTCACCTGCTGCCTCTGCTCACCTGTTGCCTCTGCTCACCTGTTGCCTCTGCTCACCTGCTGCCTCTGCTCACCTGCTGCCTCTGCTCACCTGCTGCCTGTGCTGCGGTGTGAGGCGCACGTTGCGGCTGCTCATGGCCAGCCCATCCACCTCACGCAGCAGCGGTGCGCCCACCACCTGCACCGCCATGTCCAGATCACGCACCTGGGGGAGTCATGGGGGACCGGCGCAGCACAGCAGTCAGGGCAGGGGGGGTTGGGAAGTGATTTGTGAGTCCAGGGGGGGTAAGAGGGGAATGATGGGGAGGGGTGCGGATGGAATAATGCCATGTCAAGGTCGCGCACATGGACCATCACAGCACACATGGGGTTGAGAGGGTGGTCAGGAGGGCACATGGGACAGCAGCAGTCATGCATGGGAATGTGGGAACGGATGGGGATGACGATGACGCCAATACACGTGACAGTATGCACTCCTCTACTTCACCACTTGCACTGTTCCGTGCCATGCCGCCACGCCCCCCTGCTCCGTGCCATGCCGCCATGCCCCCCCTGCTTCCCTCACTCACCATGCGCTGAATGAGGCGCCACTGCTGGTAGTCCTTCTTGCCGAACACGGCCACATCGGGCTCCACAATGTGCAGCAGCTTCACCACCACCGTTGCCACGCCGCGGAAGAACACCGGCCGCCCGCCCCCACACAGCGGCCGCTGCAGCCGCTCCACCGTCACCCACGTCTCGTGCCCTGCTGGCGCCGCTGCGCTCGCTACTGCTGGGCAATCTGCAGCGCCGCCAGGGCCGGGCACTGCTGCTGCAGGTGGCTCCGCGACGGCGTGGCGCTGGTCGGGGGGCGCGTAGAGAGGGCGCAGGTAGAGGTCCGCTGGGGCGAACACCGCTGCCACTGGCAGATCCTGAGGGGTGGGTGGCAGTTGAAAGGGAAGAGTTAGGAGCACGTCAAGGGGGTGAGGAGTGCGGACAGGAGATGAGCTCCACCAGCACAGGAGTGAACAGGAGTGAGGAAAAGATGGTGTTCCCCGGGCTTGTGTCAGGGTCGAGAGCATGGGCAAGGATGGGAACTGGCTGCCTATGGCTCCACCAGCACGCATCCAGTTGCACCGGATGGGGGTGGAGTGGAAGGAAAGAGGAGGGAGCATGGGGTTTGGAGGGCGTAACTTGAGGAACGTAAAATTGCGGGGATGAGCAGGAGATGAGCAGGGAGAGCAGGAGATGAGCTATGCTATTGAACGAACAAGGGAGCATGATAGGATGGGGTTCAGGAGGCGTACCTTGAGGAGGGGCGTACCTTGAGGAGGGGCGTACCTTGAGAAGAGCGAGATCACGGGCGAGGTCGCGTGGGTAAGAAAGGAGGTCTTCGTGTGGGGCGAACTGCGAGGGGTTGACATAGATGGACACAGCCACCACATCTGCGAGCGAGGCCGCCAGGCGCACGAGAGAGAGGTGGCCTTCGTGCAGATACCCCATGGTGGGCACCAGTGCCACTGTGCGCCCCTGGCAGTGCTGCTTGCGCGACCACTGCCGCATGGCTTCCTTCTCACTGATTACCTCCATGGCTGCGTGCGGTGGGCAATGGGAGAGGTGTTCAGAGGGCAGTGGGTGCTTCAGATCACAGCATGTAAGAGGTCAGCGGGATGGGAACGAAGGTGGGACCGGGATAACGAGAGTGAGGAGGGAAAGACAGCACAGACGCGAGTGAGGAGGGAAAGACAGCACAGACGCGAGTGTGGAGGGAAAGACAGCACAGACGCGAGTATACCTGAGCAACGAGGCGAGTTACTCGCTCGGACTCGGCCGAGTTACTCGTTTGGGTGGGAGTAACGAGTCTCGTTTTTTGTAAAATTTACTCGGCCGAGTCGAGTCGAGTATTACTCGCCGAGTTTTTTTTGCTTGACGAGTACTCGCTTGCTTTTAGGCGAGCATTTAGGAAACTCGCCGAGCATTTTAAGCTCGACGAGTACGAAAAAACTCGTCTCATTACCCTAACCGATAACATTGCGGTTTGGATGGGTTGAAATTTTCCTCCCGCCAATTTAGCCAACCAGTTTTCAGATCTGATGGGATTCATATGGATCATGCATGCACCTTTCCTTCAGTTCTCCCTCCCGCCATTCCAGACAACAACCTTTCAGACCTGATGGCTTTCATTTGGATCACGCACGTACCGTTCCCTCAGTACTCCCTCCCGTCACTTTGCCTACGCGATCGCTAAGACCAAAGCACGAAACAACGTCGCCTACTATTCAAAGGGACGAGCTCGTCCGCATCCGTAGGACATTGACGTAGCGTTGTAGACGCGATCGACCGTCAAACTTACCTGGACATCGCGATACATGTTGTAGGGTTGACATTTCCTAGGACGTTTAGATTAGAAGGTCGACTTTACCTTGATAGGATGGCGCAAACAAAGCAGGGCGTCTCTAAGATCAACAAAGCGGCGGCTGCAGCAGGTCGCGGTCGCGGTGGTGCTCGTGGTAAAGATATAGCTAATGGTGGCGAGAAGAAGCAGATCGGGATGACATCTTTAGAGCTCCGCCAACTGAAAGTGGCCTCAGCGGAGTTTCATCGTGAGCAACTTCTAGAGGCGGTTGGAGGAGGCAAGAAGGTAGACAAACGTCATGGCGAAGGGAGTTCTGGGGTAAATTGTGGCACTCATCGTGATGATAATGTGGAGGACGGGGTTGATGGAGAGGATCGCGAGCGGGACGATGGCGATGATGACAGTGTGGCCGGAACCGCCGGTCAAACCAGTGCAGATGGCGGCACTGCTGCTCGCGCGGATGGTGACGAGGATGAGGCCGGTGAGGAGATGGTGGCGGCCGACGAAGAGAAGGACGAGGAAGAGGAGGGGGATGCCGAGGAGGAAGAGGAGGGGGATGCCGAGGAGGAAGCTAAGTTGGAAAAAACGCGATTCGCGTTTTGTACGCTTTCGTATAAACGCTAGCGTCTAAACGCAAAACGCTGGCCGGGAGGGGTCTGGTACGCACAAGAATCCGCTTGCCCGGGCAGGAAAAAAAATTCCCCGGGCAGGTTAGATGCTCGACCAAGAGATGGAAACCGGAGCTGCTGTAGTAATCCATTACCTAACTGCTGCTGTAGTAGGTCATCGTCGAAGTGAAGAGGAAGAAATCGAACGCAAAGATTTTTGAAGGGAAAAGCGGCCTGACATTGAGTGAGTCTGGTAGAAGTTGGCAACAAATTGGATGGGGTGAAGGTGGGTTGTGAGCGGTGGATAAGAGGGAATGATCCACCAACAATCTCAAAATTCAGATCTGAAGTTGCTTTAGCAACGCGCGAACTCAGATCTGAATTTCGAGACTCAAATTTGAGTTCGCCAGATCGCGAACTCATCTATTTTTTTTTTCCGGTCAGCCCGAGCCAAATTTGGCGAATTTTAGAAAAATCCGCAGCGTACGAATTCTAGATGCGTATAAACTCAATACGCAACTTGAAACTAGCGTTTTTTCCAACTTAGGGAGGAAGAGGAGGGGGATGCCGAGGAGGAAGAGGAGGGGGATGCGGAGGAGGAAGAGGGGGATTCGGAGGAGGGGAGCGGTGACGACTCCGAGGAGGAGGTGAACACCGGTGACGGAGAGGAGGCGGAGGACGACAACACTGAGGACTACGACGACTTGGAAGAGGAAGGGATGGAGGATACAGAGGGAGATGGGGGGGAGAGAGCTAAAAAGAGGAGGCGGGGTGGAAATGGGAAGGGTAAGAAGGCAGCAGGCGGTCGAGGTGGGGGGGGGGAAAGGGGGCGGCCGGGGGAAAGGAGGTGGGCGGGGGAGAGGGAGGGGGCGTGGTAGTTCTGGTGTTCGAGGGGGAGGGCAGATTCGGAGGGAAGACACTTCCGAGGATGGTGTTGCCACCCCATCCGTGCACACTAATGCCACACCACCCAAGCCCAAGGTTCTAACGGGGTACGTCACCCGATGTTTTGAAAAGATTCCTGACCATCCGAAGGAGAAGCGTCGATGTCGCAACGCAAGTGCAATATGGAGATCTCCTTTGCCGGAACCAACTGCACGACCGGCAGGACTCACATGCAAGGGCAGCACCTCAACCACTGGATCATATGGTTGCGGAAGTTCCATGGTGGGGAGGTGGGCCAAAACGACCACTTCCCTGGAGGGGGGTATGGGGTTGACGACGAGGTTCCGGACGGGGGCGTGAAATGGGTAGGCGCAGACACTTGGCCAGCACCGCCCACTGAGGGGGTGCCAGCGAGGAAGGGGCAGCAGCTGATCACGCAGACCTACCCCAAGTGCTTCGACAAGGACTACCTGCAGCAGGCCATGTGCGAGTGCGTGGTCGCCACCGACCAGGCATTCACTGTGGTGGAGCACCCGACGGTGAGCCCACCAGCATACCATCACCACCCCCTTCTTAACCACAAACCAGCAGTGATTGTCCAGTAGATCGTCATTCAGTGTGCTGCTACTTATGTCTTGTCGCGTAGGTTGTACCTCCTGCTGTGTTTGACCAAACCCGCAGTGAATGAAAGTCATTCTCCGCGGCCTCGTACGTACCCACCCCCCACACCCCTTCTTGATGGCAGTTTCGCAATATGATGGCGGCCGCCAATCCTGAGTGTGCCGTGGAGAGAGTGATTCCCTCGCGCTCCACCCTAGCCCGCCAAATCATCCGTCTGGCAGGGCTGGCAAGGATCACGCTCATGGAGATAATTGCTGCTGACGGGGTAGGGGCTGTTGCACTTACGCATGACATATGGACCGGTGAGAATCACCGGTCGTACATATCAGTGACAGGTCACTGCGTGAATGAGAAGTTTGAGCTCATGCAGATAACCCTCGACTTCCGTGCTATGCCCGGCAAGCAAAATAGCGCGAGGATCATCGAGGTGCTGCTCGATGTGGTGAAGGAGTGGAAATTGGAGAAGCGGTGCATTGCTGTGACATCCGACAACGCGTCGGCCAATGTCGCAGCGATGGAGTTCTTTTGCCGTGGGGGGCCAACCGACCGTCAGCCGCCCTTGTTCTTCTCCGGGATGCACGTCAGGTACCTTAAGTTGGTCTACCTCTCGCACACATGGTGGCTCTGTGCCGTGTTGTGTGTGTGTGCTTGCGGTACTCGTGATCATTCCGATGTGTGCGCCTTCTCTTTCAATCATGCAACCCGAACACCAGGTGCATGGGCCACATTTGCAACCTAGCAATCCAGCTAGGGCTGAAGACAGTGCTCGATATCAAGGAGCCGCTAGGGATCATTAGAGACCTAGCGTCCTTCATTGGGTTATCGCCCAAGAGGACAACCCTGTTTGAGAAGATCCAGAAGCGTGCGGATGAGAAGGCGAGGATATTGCGTCTTCGCGGGGACAATGAGGTGCGGTGGGGCTCGACCTACCTCATGCTCGAGCGCGCGATTCGACTTCGAAGTGCCATCGAGACCTTCTACCGCAAAGCTCCAGTAAGCAAGTAGATGGGCTGAGGCATAGCGGCTGGCTGTGGTGTCTTCCCCACTAAGCTTTGGTGTGTGCTGCTACAGAATGTTTAGCATCAAACCACATCTGCTCCGTCCCCATACCTACAACATCAATGCTGTCTTTTCCGTCCACTAACATTCTGCCCCAACAAGCAATTCTCACCGCCAAGGATGCCAAGCGCCTCCAGGCCCTCACCCTCTCCTCGGAACAGTGGTTGGCTTTGGAAGAGCTTGCGGCCTTCCTTAAGCCATTCCATGCCGTGAGCCTCGCCGCTGAGGGGTCCAAGTACCCCACGATCTCCAGGGTTGTCCCGCAGTTCAATGAACTGTTGGACGGCCTAGACACCCTCAAAAACAATGTGTCCTCCCCCCCATCAGGGATCATGAAGGATTGCATCACTAAGGCAGAGGAGAAGCTGATGGAGTACTACTCGGGCAGCAGTGATGAGCTTTGGGTTGCCACCATCCTTGACCCAAGCTTCAAGATCGGGTACTTCGAGATGGATGGTGAGGGGGGAGACAAGGAGAGTGAGAGGCCGAGGGGGGTACATCATGTTGCGGTGGAAAGGGTGCTCGCCTTGGTACGGGCGAAGTTGGTACCGTACAAGGCAAAGGCGGTGGCGGCGAGGGAGAAACGGGAGAGGGCAGAGGGGGCTGGTCGTGGTGCACGCGGAAGGGGAGGGGGGAATTCATCAGGAGGGAGCTCCTCTGGCCGTGGGGGTGGAGCTGGCAGAAAGGGGGGTGCTGCAGGCGGCCGCCCAGCCATCGATTCATTCGGTGGTGTAGACGGGGATAGACGGAGCTTGAGGGCAAGATTAGAGGAGTACCGTAGCCGCCAGGAGGAGTCCGTCCAGGACGAGGTGCAGATTTACATTGACGAGCGATTGGAGCCTTTGGGTACCTGTCCCCTTTCGTATTGGCGCCGCAGGAATGACCTTGAGGGGCTGCAGGCTATGGCCCTCGACTACCTCGCCATACCAGCGACGTCGGCTGCGAGTGAGCGCAACTTTTCGCGTGGCCACAATCTGATCACGTGGCAGAGGCATAGCCTGGGACCCGAGCGCATCCGAGCGTGTATGATTCTCAAGTCCTGGGTGGACTTGAACACAGGGTGCAAGTTGGGGAAGGCGGCGGCGAAACTGCTAGAGTTGGCGGAGGCGGATGCCGTAGGGGTGGAGATGGATGAAGAACAGCCGAAGTGATGGTGTGGGGTGGACTGGTTTGTTGTAAGGGATGGGGGGGGATGACATGGGCTGGTGTGTGTGGGAGGAAACCTAGCAGGGCACTATTTATTGCTTGAGATCACTTGATGCTTACGCTTATGAGAACTTAGGCTTAGAAGCGATGCATTAGTAATGAGCTTGAAGCTCTTTAAGTACATTCAAGCAGGGTAAGGAATAGTTGGGGGAGGGAATCAGAGGCAATCCCTAGGGATTGGGGGTAATCCCAAGGCAATCTCCAATTGGTGGGTTGGAGATTGCTTGGAGATTACATTTGGGTTTGGTTGGGATGTAGGTGTACACCCAACCAAACACAATGTCCAAACTACACTACTCTAGGATATAGAAAATACAAAGTACAAAGCGTGAGATTGAAGGCTAACACTAACACCCCCCCATAGGCGTCAATCGAACTCAGGGTAGAGAGGGTGGAGCACAGAGCCCCATGGCGCCAAGGAGACGGTGGTGGGGAACTTTCCCAAGGGGCTTGGTGAACAGATCAGCCAGGTTACAGTCAGATGCAACGTATTCCACTTTCAACTGCTCCTGTTGGACAAGGTCACGGATGAAGAAGTGCCGGAGTTCAATATGCTTGGTGCGGGTGTGATACACAGGGTCTTGAGAGATGTGGATGGTACTCTGGTTGTCACACCAGAGGGTGGGGGCGGACTGTGGGAAACCAAGCTCCTGGAGTAGGAAGGTGAGCCAACGGGCCTCCTGAGCAGCCATGGTGCCTGCGTAGAGCTCTGCCTCACATGAGGAGAGGGAGACTGCAGACGATCTAGTGGAGCGCCAACTGACAATTCCGCTCCCAAGGGTGAAGCAGTACCCCTGAGAGGAGCGTCGGTCGGTCTGGTCATCAGCCCAGGAGGAGTCGGTGTAACCTTCCCGGTCGGTCTGGTCATCAGCCCAGGAGGAGTCGGTGTAACCTTCCAGGCGAGGAGGGGAGAGCCCACCGAGTGTGAGAACGTGAGACTTGGTGCCCTGAAGATAGCGCAGCACCCGCTTCGCCGCCTTCCAGTGAAGATCAGTGAAGCGTCCAGGGGCCACGTAGCGAGAGAGGACACTGACAGGATAGGCCAAGTCTGGCCGGGTGCACATCATGGCGTATATGAGGGACCCAACAAGCTCCGGGTATGGCTCAGAGCAGGCCTCTGGTGTGGGTACAGCTGGAGCTGTGAGGAGGTGTTGCAGCGGCAGCGGGGTGGCAACAGGAGTGCACAGCTCCATCTCAAACCGCTTGAGCACATTGTCGATGTAGAACTCCTGGGAGAGTGAAATGGTGCGAGCCTGGCGATCACGAGTGATCTCCATCCCCAGGTAATGCTTGAGGTCGCCGAGGTCTTTCATCTGGAGGGCCTTGCTCTGGGCTGCCTGGACAGAGGTCATTTGGGCCGAGTCCTTGGCAACGAGGATGAAGTCATCCACGTAGACCAGGTTGTAGAATGGCTCAGAATGACGGCGGATGAAGAGAGTTGGGTCAGCAGTTGAAGGGTAGAAGTCCAGGGAGAGGAGGACTTCTTTCACCTTGTGCCATTCGCGAGGGGTTTGCTTAAGGCCGTAGACGGGGCGATTCAGCTTCCAGACAGTGTTGGGAGGGAATTCTCCTGGGAAGCCTTCAGGTCTGTCCATGAACACTGTCTCCTTGAGACGTCCTTGTAGGAAGGCGGATGAGGCATCCATGGATTTGATCTCAAAGTTTTCTCGAGCTGCGACATCCATGAGCGTACGAATGGTGGGAGGTTTGGATGTGGGGGAGAAGGTTAGGAAGAAGTCGCGGTACTGCTGCTGGGTGAAGCCCTTGGCTACGTAACGCGCTTTGAACACCGGGGCCTCGTCTGGGAGCTGTTTTACACGGAACAACCACTTGCCCCCGACGATGTTGACTCCAGGAGGTGGAGTCTCGTCGTCGAAGGAGTGGTTGCGGGTGAATGCTTCAATCTCCGCTTCCATGGCAGCACGCCCATTCGGCAGCATGAGGGCCTGAGAGAGCCTCTTGGACAGTGAGAGGGATAGGGATGGTCGGGTTCTCCACGAAGCTGAGGGAGGGTGAGTCAGTGATGTCAGGGAAGATGTGCGAGAGCTGAGGAATGACTGCATGAAGATCACACAACTCCTCATGCCTGTCTTCCAGAAGAGTAGAGGGCACATTCCCCCCAGCAGGAGGAGGCGGTGTGATCGCTGTGTATCGAAGGAGCAGCGCTAGTGGAAGAGCTGCGCCATGCGAACGAGTGCCATGAGCCACCGGAGAGGAGGGTGGGGCAGGTGGTGTTGGAGGGGTTGACTTAGGAAGCTTGGGCGCGGGAATGGGCCGCCGGTGTACGTGATCAGCTCAGGCGACTGTGGGAGAGCGGGTTCCTCTGTGGTAGGGGGAACTGGGGGAGGATGTGAGGCCGGAGGGTGGGACCGTCGATAGTAGGTGATAGGTGCGTTCGGAGGTGGCTGCACAGTCGGCGGAGTGGGAAGTGAGGGGGATGGAGGGGCAGCCGCCGAAGACACCGGCGAGGGCAGGTCAGAGATCTCTGAGGGGGAAGGTGCGATGGCAGGAGAAGGAGGAGGTGAGGGGGCCGGCGCAGGTGGGAGGTCAGGAGGCGCATCAAAGTCTGCCCACACAAGGGAGTGTGGATCAGAGAGAGGGTCCCGTCCCGAAGTGGAGTAGAATGGGCGGGTCTCATCAAAGACAACGCCTCCGGGCCAACTGTTGAGTGGAGGGGTTGAGGAAGAGGTAGTCAGGCGAGTCGGCGTTGTGCCCGAGGTAGATGCACGTCTGGGTCTTGGGACCGAGCTTGCCGCCGTGCTGCCGTCGAGCCTGAGGGTTGAGGAGGACATAGGCGGTGCAACCCCAAACGCGAAGAGAGCGAGCAGTGGGCGTTTTCCAGAGCCAGGGTGTGGTAGGAGTGGTGTCGGGAAGATGCGGGTGGGGGTAAAGGTTGTAGAGGAGGGCGGCGTGGTAGAGAGCGTACCCCCAGAGAGAGTGTGGAGCGTTGGAGTGGCCGAGGAGGCACCGAGTGATCTGCACCAGGGTGTGGTTGCGGCTCTCAGCTATGCCGTTCTGCTGCGGGCTGTCAGGGAGGGTGAAGTTTTGCTGGATGCCTTCTGAGGAGCAGAAGGCTTTGAGCTTGTCGTTGCAAAGCTCACCACCACCATCCGAGTGGAGGCGCTTGACTTTCCGGTCAAAGGTGGTCTGTGCCTGTTTAACCCACGCCATGAGGACCTCTGGAACCGCAGCCTTAGTGTGGAGGAGGTGAACAGAGACGTAGCGAGAGTGGTCATCGACGATAACAAGGAAGTAGTGATAACCACCTCGTGCGGGAACAGGGGCAGGGCCCCAGACGTCCAGGTGTACCAAGTCCAGTGGTGCTGCTGCGACAGAGGGTGAGGCCGGGTGGGGCTGTTGACGCAGTTTGCTCTTGGTGTAGTCAAGGCACGTGGGAGCGGGGGAGTCTGGTGGTGGAGGAAGTGAGGCTGGCAGGCCGAGTAGAAGTTTCTTGGAGGCCATGTCGGCAAGTGTGCGGAAGTTTGGGTGCCCGAGCCGATGGTGGTAGAGTATGGTCGGGTTGGAGAAACTGCGGCACGAGCATGGTGAGGTAGTTGCCGCTGCTTGGATGGTTGACACCTGTGGGATGGGTACTTGTAGTGTGTAAAGGCCGCTGCTGTTGAGGGTGAAACGAGTCAAGACCTTGTTGGTGAGTGGGTCGAGGATATCACCATAGTTCTCATTCTCCCAGAAGATGGTGCGTAGCCCAGCTTCCTGAATCTCCGTTTGAGCCACGAGATTGTGGCGGAGTGAAGGCACGCACATTCCAGTGACAGTGCCAGAAGGGAAGGCGGGGCACGGGACTGTGGACGAACCCTTGGCAAGAGTGGTGAAGGTTGAGTCAGCTCCTAGGAGAGGGATGGGTGTTGCGTAGGGTTTGAAGGAGAGTGTCTCCTTGAGCACAGTGTGAGTGGCGCCGCTGTCGAGTGTGAACTCTATGTATTGTGGTGTTTGTGATGAGCCGAGGTACTGGGAGGAAGCTTCATTAATCATGGCAGTGCCAGGGAACAACAGGTTGATACGCACATCAGCAGGAGCACTATCACTAGCATTAGCCGAAACGGGGTCCTGGACCTCGACCAGGTTGGCCTTACGTGCACGCATCCAGTTCGGTGGCTTCTTGTCTATGCCGTGGATGGCGTACCATTCGTTGTCCTTCTTCTTGAAGCACGTAGCAAGGGGGTGGTTAGTGCCACCACACACTTGTCCCTTGCAGTTGCCATACTTGACGACGTAGGTGCACGGTGGGAAGCGTTTGCGCTGGAGGGGCGCTGAGGCAAGGGCCGCTGCGACACTTGCTTGAGGCATGGGAGCACAGATGGCGTAGGCCTTGGCTTGAGCCGTGGAGTCTTTCTCGGCAGAGAGGAGTGCGGTGGAGACCTTGGCAAAAGTGAGGTCTTCCGCAGTCAGCGTGAGGAGCATCTTCCTTGTGATTTCGTAGGCTCTGGTGAGACCAATAAGAAGAGCTGCTGCAGGGGCCTGTTCGGGGAAGACTATGCCTAGCTCCTTGAGTTCGCCATGAATGGTCTGAACCTTGGCAATGTAGTCGGCCATTCTCGAGCAATCCTCAAGGCGGACCTGGAACATGCTGGGGATGAGGATGGCAACTCCTACTGCAGTCTTGTTCATGAACCGATCCTGGAGATACTTCCAGATGGCGTTGGAGGTAGGGTAGTTATGGAACGTGTTGACAAGTTCTGGAGGGGTGGAGGCGATGAAGACGCTGATAATTGCAGCATCGGCCTTCTCCCACTTCCGGTACTTCTCAACGGCTTCCTCATATGCCCTTGTGTCAGCCCCACTAGCGGATTCGGACGGCTTACGAGGGAGAAGGGGCTGTTTTCCCTTGCCACGGTTGAGGAGTACATCCTTGAGGTCCAATCCCTGCACGGCACGGCTCAACAGATGCTTGTCAACCCCATAGCTCCATGCCTAGAAGTTGGAGCTAGATCCATCGGCTTCAAGACGGAGTGGGGTGATGGGGTTGGCCATGGTGGACGTGGTGAAGGCCATGCTGAAGATCCCTTGGTGTCTCGCGCGAAGCGCCGCTCTTAAGTCACCGATAGGAACCTATGTTGCACTATACGTTTTTGAAATTGTATGTTTCACGTATGTGTGTGCACGTATAAACGCGAAAACGTGAAGCGGGGACAAATACGCGATACGGAACTCCGGGCAGGCCAAAAAAAAAAAAAAAAAAAACATAAGTTCGCGCTTTTTCCGTACGCACGTATACCGACATTTCGGGACGCGTTTTTCCAACCAGGGGACGTGCAAAACCGAATCGCCACGTTCACCCCACGAACATCAACATTGCGCCCAATCACTCCCAACACCTCGTGACCAACCACGGCACGTCCCCCACCCCACAACCAATGCGTGGTAAGTATAATTGACCCCACCTCAACACATGTCTCATCCATTTGTCATTACTGTTCAGTGTTGAGCTATGTCTACTCCAGTCCCTTCTGACCCCAGTCAGCCTTCTGTTCCGTCCACTCAGTCCACTGATCCTTCAGCCTCGACCTCGGAGGCGTAAGAAGGTGAAGAAAGGAAAGGGGAAGCAGCTTGTGAAGCCGGCGGGGACCAGGTTCGGCACCAACTACATCGCCCTCTCCAGCCTCGTCGAGCTGCGGTCCACGCTGTCGCAGATGGTGCTGAGCGAGGAGTTCGCCAACTGGTCGGCGGGGGCTAGGAAGAAGACGGCGGATACGTTCCGCGGCCAAATCATGGACGATGCATGGTGGAAGAACGCTACCTACCTGGCGGAGCTCTTGGCGATTCCATTCAAGGTGATGCGGGCCACGGACAGCAGCGCCAAAGGGATGATGGGGACTATCTACGACCTAATGCTCCAGCTGACCGAGGACGTGAACGACAAGCTGGAAGCGGGGGAGAAGATTCTGCCGCGGGCGGTTGCGACTGACATTGGGAAGATTGTAAGGCGTCGTTGGGACGAGAGCCTTGCATGCGCTCTTCACGTCGTGGGGCGGATCCTCAACCCGGCAAACCAGGAAGAGGGTATTTTCCGCAATGACATGGAATGTACGCGCATCTTCAAGGCCTTCATCGCACGCCACTACGACGGTAAGACGTTCACCAACAAGGACGGTGAGGAGAGGCGTGCCTCACTTGTTTTGCAGGAGGGGCTCACGGCCTTCCTCACCCTTGAAGGTTCCTTCGGCCTTCCTGAGGCAATTGCCGACAGGGAGGCCGTGAAGGCAGGCAAGCAGTCGATGGTGGCGTGGTGGGGTTGGCACGTGACTGACCACCCCCACCTGGCCAGCCTTGCGTGCCGTGCCCTGACACAGCCGGTGTCGGCGTCGCCGTGTGGGCATCGTTCGAATCGGTGCACACTGCCCGCCGCAACAGGCTAGGCTCGGAGAAGCTCCGAGACCTCGTCTTTGTGACCCACAACTGGCGTGTGGTCCACAAGTACCACAAGATGGGTGAGTCACTGTCGGTGCTTCCGGGCAACATACCTGAACCCGCTCTGCCGGAGGGATACAACAAGGAGGAGGAAGGGGAGGAGGAGGAGGAGGAGGGGGATGAAGGCGTGCTGGCCGATGAGTACGTGGAGTAAGAATGTGAGCAGGGGAGTAGGGGAGGTAGGGGATGTATCGTCAAGTAGTTGCTAGTATGTGTGTACTTGCAATGCATGTTTGTAATGGGGAAAAAAAAGTTTCATATGTGGGGGAAAACCAAACTGCACAAGGTCACAATGAACATAGGCAACGTGACTCCCCACCCAATACTTTTTTACCCTGCCCGGGAACTTTTTTCCCCTGCCCGGACGACCGTATTTCGAGCGTATCCTGGGCCTGAATTCGTCCGTCTCACGTACGTAAGTGAGCGGATAGTACGTACGCGACTGGTACGTGAGTCGCGTACTTTCCAACATAGATAGGAACTTCGGGGGATCACGAACAAGCGGCGCGCAGCGCGGCGATTTCAAAATCCGACGGACCCCAACTAGTGAAAATCGTCAATGTCGATTGCGTCGGGATGCCTCGTAGAAGGATTTTCGGGGCCGCCAAAACTAGGTAAAATCGGCCGACTTCCGTAGATCTAACCCTAATCCCACACGCCCCCCCACACACCACCCTCAGCTTCGCGGCTACACTGCTGCACGGCTTCGCGGTTACTCTGCTGCTCGGCTGCGCTGCTGCACTGCTGCTCGGCTGCGCTGCTGCACCTGTTCAGCTGCGGGAAAAGGGGAATGGGGGTAGAAGTGCAGATGCGGGGCGACGGGCAGCGGCCCGACGAGAAGTTGTGGGGCGACGGGCGGCGGCCCGACGAGAAGTTGCGGGGCGACGGGCGGCGGCCCGACGAGAAGCTGCGGGGCGACGGGCGGCGGCCTGACGAGAAGCTGCGGGGCGACGGGCGGCGGCCCGACGAGGAGTTGCGGGGCGACGGGCGGCGGCCCGACGAGAAGCTGCGGGGCGACGGGCGACGGCCCGACGAGAAGAGGTGACGCGGTGACGAAATTGAGGGATGGCGAAGAAGGAACGATAAGTTAGAGCGACGTCGATGAGCGTACCATAGAAATTGAAGACGTCGTCGAAGTTGACGGGAAAGTGGTGCGGGGGAATTTCCGCCCACGAATGTCGCGAATCGACGGCGACGAGATTGAAGGAGGCTATGCCGAGGTTTGCGGGAAGAACATCCGCATAGATTGGAGGATCACGATCCGCATGTGCGGATGTAGCGCTCTGATACCATATGAGAACTTAGGCTTAGAAGCGATGCATTAGTAATGAGCTTGAAGCTCTTTAAGTACATTCAGGCAAGGTAAGGAATAGTTGGGGGAGGGAATCAGAGGCAATCCCTAGGGATTGGGGGTAATCCCAAGGCAATCTCCAATTGGTGGGTTGGAGATTGCTTGGAGATTACATTTGGGTTTGGTTGGGATGTAGGTGTACACCAAACCAAACACAATGTGCAAACTACACTACTCTAGGATATAGAAAATACAAAGTACAAAGCGTGAGATTGAAGGCTAACACTAACAACGCTCACCAGGGCGCAAGACCTGGCCTACGTTAAATTATTATGTGTGTAGTTAGAGTAGTTGGTGACTCACATGAATCCTTAGGTTGTGAAAACACCCATGCATTCCCCTGGTGGCCTGCTTGCGAGGTCTATCCAGGTCTAAGCAGGCTTCCATGGGTTACCTAGGCAGCCCAAGGGTACCCAGGAGCAACCCAGGCCAGGGCTTTCCTGGGCTTCCCTAGGCCACCATGGACCACCTTGGGTTTACCTGGGCGGCCTTGGAAACCCAAATACTACGTGGTACCATGGACTTCACTAGGCGTTATGTACAAAGTCGTTTCATGCCCCTGTAGAGGGCATGGCCGAGCATTACTCGTACTCGGACGAGTTTTTCAAATTGCTCGCCCGAGTTTCCCTAAAGAAGGCGAGTAACGAGTATCTGTTTGGGGGAAAATTGCTCGGTCGAGTATTACTCGACTCGGGCTCGTACTCGACCGAGCATGGCTAGGGACGAGTCAAGCATTACTCGTGCTCGCCTCGTTGCACAGGTATAGATGCGAGTAGACATGAGCACAAGGGCGAACACCTGTTCGGTTCGCCTCGAATGCTTAAATTGTTCGCCGAACAGTGTTCGATGTTCGCCCGAACACGTTCGTATTCGGGCCGCTGCTGCAATTTGCCCCGCGACGAACACGAACGTGTTCGAGGTTCGCCCGAACACGCCTTCACAGGCGAACGGCGAACACGAGTTTTTGCTTAAAGTGTTCGCCGAACCGAACAGTGTTCGGTTCGGCAAACGGATGTGTTCGTCTAGGGGCGAACACGAACATGTTCGTGTTCGCCCCTTGCTCATCCCTAGACGCGAGTGAGGAGAGAAAGACAGCACAGACGCGAGTGAGGAGGGACCAATGCACTTGTCACAAGGACCTACAATTCCCACACTAAACAGTTATGTTTCTTTTTCATGTCGCCTGGAAGGAATATACTCTTAAGTCAATTTGATAGCTCACTCGTTCCTTTGCTCACTCGTTCCTTCGCTCTCACTGGTTAACTAATCTGGGGTTGGTGAAGCAAGGGTCGGTTACAGAACCTACAAAATTGATTTAAAGTACGACTTTGGAAGGAGCAGCGGAAGAAAGGGGGCCAAAGGGGTGGGGGTGAGAGTGTGGGGGGAATAGAATGGCAACATTGGGCAGCAAAGTTAGCAGAATGAGAGCGATACGGGGAACTGAGACAAGGGTCAGTCGCTTTTGCTAAGATTGTACCTATGCGCATTGGGACAGGGTAGGAGGGGTTGAAGAAAGTAGAGTATGTAAGGGATAAATTGGTGAGGGGAGCACCAATCGTAACAGGCTGCATCACGCATATTCGAAATCTGCTTGCAGTTACGCGTGAACCAGCAAGTTCCCCCATGGCATCTCACACACGAAAAAATACAACCGTCTCTGAATGTGCAAGAGAGAACAAAATTTTGTTGGAAATTTCAGCAAGTTACAGTACAAGCCTGGGCACACACAAAACTTCAACCTTTAAGCAAACGGAAACACATCTAAAAGCCAAGCTGGCTGGGATAACGAGGCACATGGGCTGATTGAGGCAATGTGAATGAGGTAGGGCGAATGAGGTAGGCTGAATGAGGCATGTAGCATGAGGTTTGTCGATTCAGGGTTTATGGAAGGCCGAATGAGATAGGGGGAATGAGGGAACTTGAATGAGGTAGTGTTAATGAGGCCAGAAGAAAGAATGACTTTGGGTGAATGTGGAGAATGCCTTGAGAATACTCACAAGCAACTCCAGCACAGCTGCGCTGCAGCACGCAGCGCGCTCGGCGACGCACTCGCCGTGGGTGCGGTGCAGCCCTCAGCGGGCTCCATGACAGTTGATTGAATGAACCTATGCCGCTGCGTGTAAGGGGCTGCATTCAGCTGGAGATGTGACCTACCTAATGGTGGTGTGACGTGCACGTGTCGCACTTGGCCACTCACAATTCCCTTCCCGTGCCTTCACACCCCCCCTTTCCCCCCTTGCCTGCAGGGCAAGGGCAAGGACAAGGAGGAAAGAGAACGCAAGGGACGGAAACGGAGGGCAAAGGAAGGGAAGGGAACGGGGGTGTGTGTGAAGGAAAGGGATGGGAATGGAAGAAAAGCGCTGAGAATGGAGGTGAAGGGAACGATGGCCCACTGGAAGGAGAAGAAGGAGAGGGACGGACCAGGGGTGAGGAGGAAACGTGAAGATAGATAGGGCGAGGGGCGGAGAATACGTGGGAAGGAGTTCTGCTTGATTTGGCTCAAAGGCTTTGGATAGATTGAACGAAAAGGAAACGAGAGGGAATGGAAGGGATGGGAAGGCAAGGATTGGGCAGCTGAGAGAAGGGCAGGGGGCGTAGAGAAGGTGCGCAAACGGAAAGACATATTAGGAGAATTTTGCAGTTGAGGGGATCGACCAAGGTGTAGGGTAGGGAACGGAAAGAAAGGGAGGGGAAGCATACGTAAGGGAATGGAAGGGAAGGGAAGGGAATGGTAGGGAGGGGAGAAGGCGCGACGAAAGCAGGCGGGCCGAGGGGAGGCGCGACGAGAGGAGGCGCTACAAGAGGAGCCGCGAAGAGGGGAGGGCTCCGCGCGATGAGGGGAGCACGACCAGGGGAAAGGAGGCGCGGAAAGGTGTAAAGGGTGGAGGCGCAATAAGGGGAGGGGAAGCGCGATGAGGGGAGGGGTAGGCGCGACTAAACAGGGAGGCACGACGAAAGCACGGAGGCGAAATGAGGGTGGTGGAGGCGCGACGAAACGAGGGGAGGCGTGACGAGGCCGGGGGCGACGAGGGGAGGCGCGACTACGGGCAGGGGAGGAGCCAAGAGGAGAGGGGTGCCTTGGCGACTTGAGGCCCCGAGACGTGGGAGAGCAAGCGAGGAGGCGGCAGGCGCCCTAAACCACACTCACGAGGTTGTCCTTGGGCGTATTTCTTGCTCATTAGAGTTTGTAGTAGCGAATGTGCTCAGGATGTCCTAAACCCTGCGAATCACGCCAATCCCTGGCTCTTTGTGGTGACGCCCGAATTTAGTCTAGTATGTACAGGACGTGCTGCATTCAGGTCGAACTTCGCCAAAATTTCTACACAGTATACGGGATTTTAAATCTGAACGTCACCGTACAGTGCATGTTAAAAAAAAAATTCTGACATTCCTTAGCGCGCCATCGCGTACAGCAGCAGCCGTTGTTCTCCCGTTAGTGCTAACGGGGCTTCGCCGACTTCGCGCGCACTGTTTCACCAAACCTTGCACTGCTGGCCCGGCCGTGTCGGCCTACGCTTCGGGACTAGCCCGAGCCTCGCTGCCAGCGTAGCACTAGCTAGCTCGCACGCACCGCGTTACCGTTTGCATGTTTCGCGTATGAATGTTCGGTCATGCCTTCGCTCACATTTTGTACTCATTTGACACCTTAGTGCAATCCTCGCTACCTCGATTCATTGCACCCGTAACACTTGGTTATCAGAGCCTCTTTCTTTTCGGACCGCGCAACTCCGCGCCCCAGGAAATCAACTTTTGATTTTTTCACTCGAAGGGACTCACGCACCTTAGCCCCTAGGAGCCGTTGTCCTCGCGTTCTCTCGTAAACGCATGCAGCCACGACTTCGCCTAGACTAAGCCGAGCCGACGCCCTTCGTAATGGCCAAACACATCGACGTCACCACTCTCACACAGGAGCGCTTGAACAAACTACTGCAGCAACTTCGCGAAAGCTCTGAAGAAATCGCGACGCTGACGGCAGAACGTACATCCCTGCAAAATGACGTCGCACGAGCACATCAAGCACAATCTCAAGCACCTGGCACTCCGGTACAGCCCGCACCACATACATCGCAACATCGAAGCGTGGGGCAACCCACGAGCGCGGCCAGTGATGGCGTCGTCCGCCTCGACGGAGACGACGACCACAGCACAACACACCCCGACGGGACGAATGCGGCCAGGAGTCAACCTCGAGTCACGATTTCTGTGCTGGCCAGCGAATCAGCACTACCGTCGCCGATGCCGCTGAAGCCGCAGCTTCCGCCATGCTTTGACCCGAGTCAACGGGGTGGTCCTACCGTTAAGGCATGGTTGTTCACGTTGAACGTCTTCTTCGACGCCAGCTACGTCTCGGAGGATACGGCGAAAATCCGCTACGCTGTGTCGCTGCTGCGAGGACCCGCCATGGACAAGTGGCGTGTCATCGTCACGAAGCCGATAGACTACGCGACGCTACCGACACGGGAAGGACAAACCGGACCCTAGGCGCCGTCGTATTTCGTGGAGGTGCCCCAATATCGCAAGTGGGACGCGTGGTGCGCAGGTCTGCGCGCTCGGTTTGAGCCAATTACGGCTTCGATCGCGGCGCGACAAAAGCTCTGTAATTGGCGCCAACTCGGTTCCGTCCAGGACTACACGAACGGGTTTCTGCCGCTATGCGAGCAAGTGGGTTACATGCACGAGAGCGAATGCATCGA